GGCACAACAGCACAGTTGGGGGCAGCCCTGTCTTGCCGAATTGCCGGCCAGATATAATCTCGCTAGACTAAACCGCGGTGAAGAAACAGACTCTTGTGTGCTGGTGCGGATTTGTTCCTTCCCGACAGTGAGAGAGAGAGACACGCACAACAAAGATGGATTTTACTCAAAGTCAGCTTGGAAAGAGATGAATTGAATGAGAATCTTCTCTCTGACTGGCATTCTGGACTGGGTGTCTTCTGTATATTCTACACAAGATTCAGAAGAACGTGGAATTTGGTATCTGCTGCGGAATGTAGTGCCCCCTGTTTTCATTCGTTTATTTTAAAATCATGTTTCTAGTCCCTATGGTATCTGCGAGATATGCTTGGAAGTGCATACGTAACGCCTGATAAAATTTCAGCGATTGCTGAAACAAGGTTTCCAGCAGTTATGGGGCAGGGTCTTGTTGCCTAACAGAAGCAATTAATTATGCAAAGCTATCAAACAGATGGACCATCTCTTCAAGGTTGCAGAATTTAGCACTTCTGGCTGCAGAACCAGCGCAGAATTAGCACACAATCTGGTTTGCCATTCTGGTGCAGAGTGCTGCTAAAACAGTGGCACTTTGGTTTGACCCAGATGCTCTTAATTGTCTGTAAACATCCTACATTTGGGGGGCAGCCGCACCCAGTGCGTCAGCAGCTCAGTGGGTGGTGGCCACAGAGGACAACGGGCACAAGTCAGGAAGTAGAAGAATATCTTGTTTTGGACCAAGTTAGCCCGAGGTTAAAATGCACAAGCTTTCATGGCACTCTTTGAGACAGAAACATGCACCTGACGAAGAGTCCTGTAGAAGTCAGACGTCGCGTGCATGCCTACCAGTCATGCCCCTAACCCCAAATACTTATTTCTTTACTCTGTTACCTCAGCTTGTCAGTGCGACTTGTTTGTTGGGCCAGTCAGTCATTGAAAGACTGTAATGCAGTGCAGGCATGACCCTGCCTGCTTACAAAGCCACGGTTTGCAATCCAGAAGCCGGTGTTGGGAATGTGTGGCCCTTTCCTCGCCTCTTCACACCACGTTTCCCCTCTCTTCTCAACGTGACCCACGGCTTAGCATGATGTGAGCCTTGGTAATCGCCAGGGTTCCTTCAAGATTTCCAGGGTAAAAGCTTTTGAGGGTCAAAGCTCCATCACATAGGTGGTTGGAATAGATTATTATACTGTTATTGAACTGCATGGATCTCGCAATTCCTAATTCAAGGTGACAGGAGGGAATAGTGGCCACAGGGCTTCGCAAGGCAAGGAAAGCGTGAGGGAAAACTGTGGACCAGTGTTCCCTCTAAGCTGAGCTAGTGCGAGCTAGCTCACAGTTTTTTAGCCTCCAGCTCACACGTTTTCGTCTTTGCTCAGGAAGGCTGGCTCCAGAGCAAACAAAGTTATGCAGCAGCCAAATCTCTCGCTCACAATTTTAATGCCAGTAGCTCACAGAGTAGATTTTTTTGCTCACAAGACTCCACGGCTTAGGGGGAGCATTGGCGTGGACCCTCCGTAGCCACTGCAAATGCCCCCGTGTTTGCAATAGCAATGAGACCTGCACAGCAAATCGTCTTCGTGTGGAAGCAGCTGTGGCATGTTTGTAAATTGTGCTTGCGAGAGCCTTGTTTGCATTCACCCTAGTTTACATCGGCCTGTGCAGAACATCAAGCCAAAGGCTGAGGCTGAGGGAGGGGGGTTTGATACCGGAGGAAAGGCAGCAGACAGGCAGTTGGTGCTCATCCTCCAGGCAGAGGCCTGGTTTGCAAAAGCATGGCTTGCAAGCCGATGATAAGATTCCACACGTGTCAGAGAGTAGAAATCAGACGGTTCTGCAAAGATTTGTTTAAAAAGGTTTTGGCTACAAAATTATGTATCCTGTAGCCCAGAAAACTTGGCCTGCCACCGGCAGTACTTTCTTGTAGGTCTGGACAACTGTAATTTATCCTGCGGTTAAGTTGTGCTTCCTGCATATTTGGTTTTGTGGTGAAGCGCCCGGCATCGCCGTGTGGGAAGCAGCCCCATACACTTCCCCTTGTGTCGCTGTGTTTTTTAATTCTTGCCCATCCATCCCTGTTTGTGACCCGTGACTCTACCTGGTCTCTCAACTGTTGTTACTATAATGTATTTTTTTAAGCTGTAGGCCTAAGCTTTCCTCCTCCCCTCCCCTTCCTGTTAAGATATTTCCTACCAATCTTGTACAGAGAACAAATGATATCTTTATCTATATATATATATTATAATAATCTATATTTTCAGTTTTTGTACATACAAAACTCCAAAGATCTTTCTGGTTTTATTTCCCCCCCTTTCCTTCTTTATGAGGACTAAATGAAGGTTGTGCCTTCCTGCCTGCACGCGGTATGTGCTTGTGGGTGGGTTAGCGCATCATCCATTGCACAACTTATTTATGTATTTAAGTGTACTGTGTGTGTGTATATATATGTGTGTGTGTGTGTTAAGTTTGTAGCAGCTACTTCCTAACCTGAATCTCACTGTTAACCTGCTCTTGCGTTCTCAAAGCCCGTTGACATATCGTCTCAGTGTTGCGAGAAGAGAGATCGCAGAGATTGCCTACTTTTTAAAATACAGGCATTGGCCGTTTGTAATGCTCATCTCCTCCTTCACGGTCTCTGTGCTTTGCACGTGTAGAATATGCAAGGTCTAGACAGCGTATTGATCGAAACCTTCTAGAGCTAAAAGTCAGTTTTGTCAGGAAGCACAGCATCTCCTTGCAGCATCTCCTTGTTTGGTTGCTTAAGGAGACAAAGAAACAGGCCAAAATGGAGGTTGGTTTTGAAGTGGGACAGGACCCAGTGGTTGAGGTCGAATCCCGCTCGGTACTGAAGATGAAGGTCCCAGTGGCTTGGGATATGGAAGAGAGACAGCATCTGAGGAGAGCGCTTGTGCCCAGCAGCACGCCCCAAGGTCACCAGGAGCAGTTTATTACAGCCTGTAAATTTTCAGCAGTGATGCCCCCTTGAATGGCCATCTGTGCCAGGTAATAATGGCACACCACCATTCTAGCGCCGTCCGGAAAGCCATAGACAAGAGAGGACTCGCAGCCCAGCCTGAAGTCGAGGGAAACCACTGAGGAGATTGGAAAAGTAGCCAAGCAGCACAGCATTTCAGTGCTGCTGTTGCGTGGCGTAGTCCACTCAGGGCATGTGTACGACTGGCTTTCTCCTTGGGTCGAGCAGAGGCCTTGCCAGCAATAACTTTTAGGCCTAGCTCTACGATCGATACTCTGCTCAGGCACGAGTATTCCTACCTGTGTGACTTCACGGATGACCGGTTGAAGCCCACAAGTTAGAGGTGAGCAACTTTTTCCTCACAACAAAGGTGAATTACAGCCTCAAGTTCTTTTATAGGTTGGATATGCAATCTGAGCTGGAGAGGAACACCACCACCCCTCCCCCCCCCAAACGCTACGTATCATGTGGTGGCAGCAGCAGCCTGGTGGTCGGGTTCCCAGGGGTGTGCCTTTAGCACAACCGTCTGAATGATTTGTGAGGGGAAGGTCTCTGCCCGCCAGCTTTTCAACGTAGCCATCCACCTCTCTTGCTGCCATCACAGGTTACAAACAAGTCCCCTGGAGTATTTTATATTCCACCACTGAAATCACCGGGACTTCAGTGCTCAGCTTTAGATTGTGCCCCAAAGTTTAGTATCACGACACTGGGGAAATAGCTGCGTATTGTGATCCTGTGCTGAGTTTTTCCATGTGTCCAAATTAATGACCTCAGCTTACAAAGTTCTTGAGAGGTTTCCAAATAACTGTGTTTTGGCTTGATTTGAGACCAAAATGGCATGGGGAGAGGGGCTGGGGTTACCAGCCTCCAGGTGGGGCCTGGAGATCTCCCAGAATTACAACTGATCTCCAGACCACAGTGATCAATGCTCCCCTGGAGGAAATGTTAGGGGTGTGTGAACTGTACAGCAGCACATCAGTCCTCAAACCCTGCCACTCCTAAGCACTTTTACCCCCCAAGTCTCCAGGAATTTCCCAAACTAGAGTTGGCAACTCTAGCTAGGGCTGCAAGCTTTTGAGTTCAGAGGGTCCTCAAGTTCAGTCCCCAGGATCTCCAACTTGGAGGATCCCGGGTAGTGTTGTAAGAGGTCCTTCTCTGCCTGAGAGCTACTACTGTTTAAAGTAGGCAATACTGGTCGGTCGTTCTGGTCTGACACAGTAGAAGTCAGTGTCATGCGCTCACATGGCAATGTTTTTAAATGCATTTGGGCTGCTCGAGAAGTTTGGTTGTGAGGTGGGCTCGCTGTCTTTTAGGGACGCTTGCCTTACTGATTCAATGAGGAGAAGAGTCTGGAGATCTAGGCTTAAGGACCTGGGGGCTTTGCTGGGCAAGGAGGGACGTTCCATAACAAGAGCACCTGCTTACGACACAGAAGGTTCCAGGCTCGGTGCCCGGCAAGGGGCAACCGCTTGGTCTGGGGTTTCTATTATTAATAAAAGTGATTACAATTACCTCTGTGACCTATAAAGTATGTCACTTGCCTGCCTACCCCTTCTAGCAAGTCGCCAGTGGCTAGTGTTTCGAAGCACCAGTTTAGGACAGTGGACCTGTTGGATACTGTCGCAGATTTTTCAGAACCCTAAATCAGCTCTTGGTGTAATTTGCGGGGCCGATTGCAGCTCTGCGGCTTTGTGTGGCCCTGCAAGAACTGAAGAGTGCCACATTTTGGAAAACTTGAAGCCAGAGAAAGACGGAAGCAGAACTACCAGGAGCAGGGCCTTTAGTGTACCACCCTCAGTTTGTTTCACCCTTTGCCACCTCCCTACCCTTATGCCCAGTTTCCCTTCTGTCGCTCCTTTTTCTGTTCCTCTAGGCCCTGCCGGAACATTCCAGAAGTCTGGAGACCATTAAACTTTACATTGCAAAATAATCCCCCCCCCTCCGGTGCATTAATCTGTCTGAGTTACCATACCCCGTCCTTTAAGCAGTAGACTTCAAACAAGGAAGCAACACTGTTCAGAGGCTGGAGCCAAGTCACTGCTAAAACCAGGACTCGTTTCTTCTGCCACTCGGCCTTCCACCGTATATAGCATCCCCACTTTACGAAGGACTTGTTCAGAAGGGTGGGTCTTGTGTGAATTATGCAGCTGTTTAAATACTTTGTTACTTTGTACATATCAATAATCATTTTGTGGCCACAGGAGGGGGTGACTTAAAAACAAACATTCAATGACATTTTATGAGTGTCCTTTCGAAGGTCAGAAGAAGGATGGCTTTGTGTAAACTGGCCCTTTCTCTTTGGTTTATTTATTGTCTGTTAAAGCCTCAGTCTGTTTTACCAAGCTGGGGGCCATTGTGTATATGCAAACTACTTTTTAGATAAAATAAAAATACTGGAAAAGAGCTGACCCAGAGTTGTGCCGTTATTAAGGACTCCAAACACCCTCACCCAGCCAGTGTTCCCTCTAAGCGCCACAGTGCTGTGAGCAAAAGTTCTCCCTTGTGAGTGAAAAAGCTAGTAGCATTAAAGTTGTAAGCAAAACTACAATTGCCTTTTGCATAAATTAGTTTTTAGAAGATTATTTCCATGACCTTGTAAAATTCTCAGAATGAATTGTTTTAAACTATATTTAAACTACATTTTAAGAATAATTAAAACGTAAGAGAAACCAGAATTAAGTCAAATTTCATTACAGAAAATGTCCTGTTTGGGGGGTAGACCAGGCCTCTGGAGAACAGGTCTACCTCCCCCATTCCACTATATTGGTAGACCTGGTCTTGCAGTCTACTTTGGGTTTTTTTAGTGAAATATGACAACCAGCATTACAGGTCAAGTACAATAGGTGGAACAATCACTATCAGAAGAACCCTGCCTAACCTAACAAACAGGAAGTTGCTTAAATGTTACCTACCTGCCCAAACTACTTATTTATTCAAATGTTTTATCCCACCTTCCCTGTGACTCAAGGCAGCTTACAAATCATACTGAAAAGCATAATAGGGGTGTGCAAAAATATATATGATTTTTTCCTGGCTCCATCATAGCTTGTGGGGACCACTATAGTCAATGGCCTCCATAGGCTATAATGGAGAATCATTCGGGGGGGGGGCTGTTTTTTTCAGGTAGACACACCAAATTTGCAGCATAGTTGCTGGTGCCTCTCCTCAACCCCCCCCCCCCAAGTTTCAAAAATATTGGACCTAGAAGGAGGTGCCCCATTCTCCCTTGTTTCCAGTGGAGAGGGGGGAAATGCCTTCCTGGTTCACTTGTGAAAGCCAGTTTGGTGTAGTGGTTAGGAGCGCAGACTAATCTGGGAGAACTGGGTTTGAGTCCCCACTCCTGCATATGCTGCTGCTAGTGTGACCTTGGGTCAGTCATGGCTCTCTTGTGGCTGTTCTCTCAAGAGCAGTCCTTGAAAGAGCTCTCTCATCCCTACCTACCTCACAGGGTGTCTGTTGTGGGGAGGGGAAGGGAATGGAGATTGTAAGCCACACTGAGACTCCTTCAGGTAGCGAAGGGCGGGGTATAAATCCAATCTCTTCTGATTGAAAAATTTCTGAGCTGCCAGCTAAAATTGTGTGCGCTAGCACCCCCTAGCGCAGTTTAGAGGGAACTCTGCCACCCACCCAAAGCTGGCTTGTACCTCGACTGCTTCTTTCTCTGTCTCGCTTGCTTCCGTCTCCCTCCTTTCTTCATGATAGCAAAATAGGAGGACTCTCCCAACAGTTGAAGAAATGACATGACAAATAGTCGTGGCAGGAGCTGAGGACTTCTTAAAGGGGTTGGGGGTGTGCCTTGCGTTCACTCGAGAGCCTGGAGCCTGCTGAAGTGGCTATTTCTGAAAAAGCCTTGGCCCATCCAGGATTTTGGGACCTTCTCCACTGCAGCCCCCATCATGTAGGCAAGGCAATGAAAGAATTCTTCCTTTCTACCCTTGCTGACTCTTGAACTTTTTGTGCAATGCTGAGAATGGCAGTTCCCTTTGAGGCTGGGGGTAGGGTGGTGGAAGGCTGCAAACCTTGCCACTCCCCAGTGACATCACTACAAAGGCTCCCCCCTCCACAGTATGTAACCTGTGTCCTCTATTTTTGCTGCAGATGGTGCAGGAGGAAAGCCAGATGCAAAGAACAGACCGTTTGGTATAGACTGAGTGCCAACCTTGGCTCAGGAAATCTGGGTATAATCCTGTTCAGTCATGATACACATTGGGTGTTCTTGGGCAAGTTGACTGTGTCTCATCCCAACTTAACTCTATAGGGTTGTTAGGATGATGGGATGTTGGAGAACCACACTGAACTAGTTTAGGAAGAAGGGGTAAAAATGCGGGGTATGATTGGGCCCCAGTTAATCCATACTTTTGATTGAGGGAGTTCAGGCCCTACTGTGTGACCTTAGAATCACAGAATCATAGAGTTGGAAGGGACCTCCAGGGTCATTTGGTCCAACCCCCTGCACAATGCAGGAAATTCACAAATATTCCACCCACGCAACCTCCATTCACCCCTGCTCCATGCCTTAATGATAAAGAATTGTAATCCTCCCCCACCTTTTGATATACTTGGTCAGGGCTTTTTTTGTAGAAAAAGCTTTCTTCCAACTTGCCCTTCCATACAAAAAGAATTCCCCCTCATCTGCAGGAGGACTTGATCCAAAGCCTACAGTGGAAGAAATACCTGCATTCTGTCTGTGGGGGTTCCCCCCCACACACTCTCGCACATCAGCATGGCATTTTACTAAAAGGCAGAGCAGAACTTTCCCAAAAATCCCAACAAATAAATAAATAAACATGGCTCATCCACAGGGGGTTTGACTTTCAAAAAATGCAATCCCAGTGTGCTATTGTGTTCTGTCACAAATCCCTTGGAGCTTTAGGGGATGTGGAACATGATGTTTTAAAGTTAATAGTTAAATAGTGCATCGTATCATCAGACCTGGCCCAAAGAAGGCTTGGGTTCATGTCTCAACTAGGGGATGAAACTCAGTGAGTGGCCCAGTCACCGTTTTGTCACTTCCGTCTCAACTAGGGGATGAAACTGAGTGGCCCAGTCACCGTTTTGTCACTTCTTTTATGAGGATAAAATGGTACCGAGGTGGGGGGCGAGGGGGAGAGACATAAAAGTAGAACTCTTTGGAAGAAGTGTGAGACTGAAGTGTGACCAATAAAACTTTGAAGTTTTGGTAAAAGAGTCAGGGGCTGCCATATTGGTCTGTGACAGAACAGCTACATTCAAGTCTGGTAGCATCTTTCAGACCAACAAGATTTCGGGGTAGGAGCTTCTGAGAGTCAAAGGTCCCTCTTCATCAACTACAGATTGAGGACAGAAGACAGTACGTGATTGATTACAAAGGGACTCCTAACAGCCTGCGAAAGTCTGGCCAAGGCTGTTAGCTTCCCTCTGGATAATATGAAAGACCATGAGAAGAAGGGGTGAGAGAAGTCCAAGCTAGGGGGATTGTACCCTCAGTTCCCTAAAACACTGTCAATGTCTATCCATGGCCACTAGCCATGGTGACTTGAGGGGAACCTCCACATGCAGAGGCACTAATCCTCTGAATCCCAGAGCCAGGAAGCGACATCAGGGGAACGTCTCGGTCTTTGTGCCTTGTTGTTTTCTGTCCAGAGGAACTGGCTGAGGCCCCTGTGTGAGACAGGATGCTGGATTACATGGACCCTCACTGGTCTGATCAAGCAGGGCTCTTCTTGTGTTCTTAGCAATCTAGGGAAATTCCACGGAGACAGCCCGTCCTATGGGGTTGTTTGAAAACCAGCAGCCCTGGGCGAAAAGGTCAGAGTTGCAGAATCGCTTAGTCCCCCCTGGCCCTAGGGACGCTAAGTTAACAGCGACAAGAACTAGGGCGTTTTCCCTAGCTGCACCAGTATGGTGGAATCAGCTCCCAAATGAAATTCGAGCTCTGCGGGATCTCCACCAATTCCGCAGAGCGGTAAAGACTGAGCGGTTCCGGCAAGCGTTTAATAGCCCAGATCACATTGATCGTTCTAGCACTTTATAATGGATGGCCGCCATGCTTAAACTGTAATTTTAATAAGTTATATTTGGCTATTTTACTGATTGTATTCTTTTAGATGTGAGGTTGTATTAATTCTTATACTGGTTTTTAAACTGTTGTAAGCCGCCCTGAGCCGCTTCGGCGGGAGGGCGGGGTAAAAGTCTAATAAATAAATAAATAGAGAAAAGCCCAAGCCAGTGGGAGTGCCTTTCCTGATGAGACCAACAACAGCCTGAGAGGGGGTTCTCCCCTGCTCTTGTATACAAACCAGAATATTCTCACACATCCTGACCAAACAGGGATATACAGAGTGCAGCTAACAGACAGATATGTTTTGTCTCTTCTCCACCACTCACAGGAAACCTGGCAGCATGCTTAGAGAAGTGTTGTGAAGACACAGCTTTTTAATGCTCCGCACAGTGCAACTGAGACGAGGGCCTCTGCACAGAACCCCGACTGCATCCCACTCCCTTCCTGCAGTCTCAGTATCATTCATTCCCCCTGGCTTCCGCATGCCGACCCAAAATCCTCTGTACCCAGCAGCTTCCCACTGGGAATGTGTCACGAGTGCACAAGGGAAGCTGATCTTTGGTGGCAGCAAGTGTCAAAAGTGCAGGCCAAGTATGTTTAAAGTTGGTCACTGGCGTTTCAGTATCCTGTCCGATTGCCATTTATCTCTCCAAACGTGCATCAATCGGCTGTCCTGCTCACTTTGGTTGCAGTGCTAACGTGTCGAGCCAGAGCCGAAGGGCAAACTTGGTCCCGGTGCTGACGCGTTCCACGTCCTCGCCTTGCAGGGGAGCAGTGTTGAGGAACGTTGCGGTAGGAATTGTGGTGGTCTCTGCCGAGCCCTGCTGTAGTTCTGTGATCCTGGCTCAGAGAACAAAAGAAGATGATGCAACATTAGCCCTGCAAGTAGAGGGAGGGGCTCAGGCGTGCAGCACTTAATCCCCAGGGCTGATTTTCCAGCCAAGCCACCCAAACTCATAGTATTACAACAAGCATGACAAGAAGGGTGCTTATCTTGCCCCCAGGCATCATGGGTGCACAGAAGACATCCCCCTCCTGGGACTGAGTCCCTGCAGTGTCCAAAGCGACTGGAACATTCAGCCATTGCCAAAGCAGAACAAGATCACTGACCATTAAAGGCTTCTGCCTAACGCATCTCTGCACTGACCTAAGTTTACCTTCTAATCAACCTCTGCTGGAAGTGGGTAAATCTGGCCTATCTGTGTGCTGGATGTGACGACACATTTAATCACTCCCAATACAGAGATACAGCAGAGCTGCCCACTTGTAGAGGAGGCTGTCCATCACATCTATGCACAAGACATTACTCTTGGCTTCCTTCTCATTGCAACACATATGCACAGAACAGTTATTTGTGCAGAAACTCAAAGGTGTGGGCTCCTCTTACAGTAGGTAACTCACATTATGTGCATTTTCTGAAAACGGTTTTCAGCATGAGGCTGAAAAGCCCAGCTCCAATATTAATTCATGTCTATCCCACCTGGCACTCAGAATTTGGGGAATACTATCATGGGGCAAAGCAGAACTGTTTATGAAAATCTGGATGCTTTCTTCCCCTGGATTGCTGGATTGCACAGATCCTTTCAATTGAAGGTCAAAGAAGACGGGGACGGCAAAGGATGAGATGGTTGGACAGTGTCATAGATGCAACGAACATGAAGTTGAGCAAACTTCAGAGGACGGCGGAAGACAGGAGGGCCTGGCAGGATCTGGTCCATGGGGTAGCGAAGAGTCGGACTCGACTGTGCGACTGAACAACAACAACAAAGGCCTTTCAAACACATCATGTGCATAAAGTGCCCTCAAGTCGCAGCTGACTTATGGCGACCCCAGCAAGGGGCTTTTGAGGCAAGTGAGAAGCAAAGGTAACCTGTCATTGCCTTCCTCTGCAGAGTCTTCCCTTAGTGGCCTCCCTGATCCTGTGTAGCTTCTGAGATCTGACAAGAGCGGGCTATGCCACACGGTGTTCCCTCTAAGCCAGTTTGGTGTAGTGGTTAAGTGTGTGGACTCTAATCTGGGAGAACCGGGTTTGATTCCCCACTCCTCCACTTGCACCTGCTGATGTGACCTTGGGTCAGTCACAAGGTCTGGCACAGCTGTCCTTGAAAAAGAGCAGTTTGTGTCAGAGTTCTCTCAGCCCCACCCACCTCACAGGGGAGGGGAAGGGAAAGGAGTTTGTAAGCCGCTCTGAGACTCCAAGTGAAGGGTGGGGTATAAATCCAATCTCTTCTCTTCTTCTTCTCTTCTAAGCAGCAGTCTGGAGCCCTGCAGGGCCTTGCACTGCTTAGTGCCCATTTTAAGATGACAGCAGTTAGATTCTGCTGGGGGGGGGGAGTTAGAGGGAACAGTGACGCCGTGCCTCCTTCCAAAACACATTAGACTCAGAGTCTGCAGACTGCAAAGGTCTGGATGTGATGTTCAGCCTTAGATGACGGCAGTGCGAAGCTCCCTAATAGCTTCACTTAAGAACACACATTTAGCAATGCATTCTGAATGAAGTATTCAAATAAAAGCTGTTCTTTATTTTATTTATTTATTTATTTGGATTTATATCCCGCCCCCCCTGAAGGCTCAGGGCGGCTAACAGAGGCATAACGCCAGATTATAACAATAAAACAGTATAAAATACTAAAAATACAAGATAAAAACTAATGGGATTCATAAAAAGACATTTCCGGTGCTCCCCTAGTACTCACTTCCAAATTGTAAAACCAAGATGGTGTTCTTGATGGTATAGCTACACAACAACAGCAGTGCATATCCCCACTGCCCTGTCGTCTCCTAGGAACGTCCCGCTCCCTCCGATGGTACCCGCACCAGCAGTGGTAGTGTGCGGAGATTATAGGGCGTTGATGGAACAGTGGTGGCGGCGGCTCCTACTCGAAAGCCTGGTGGAAGAGCTCCGTCTTACAGGCCCTGCGGAACTGTACAAGGTCCTGCAGGGCCCGGATCTCCTCTGGGAGCTCATTCCACCAGATAGGAGCTGCCACCAAAAACGCCCTAGCCCTGGTCATTGCAAGTTTGAGGCCTGGAACATCCAGGAGATTTTGGCTCCCCAACCGTAGTGCTCTTGGGGGAACATGCGGGGAAAGGCGGTCCCTTTGAGAAATATATCACGGTGCACACTTTTTCTAGGCCCCTCATCGTTTTCCAAAGCTTGGAAAATAATGCTCCATAAAGTGTGTGTGTTTTTAAATGAAAACTCTGGACGTCCATTTTTCTCCAACCACCATGAGGACTAGAGCTTTCCTTCCTTCCTTCCTTTGGCAGAGTGTGACAGGAATCTGCGCTGCCCATCGGACTTCTCATTTGTCAGCAAGGTGGTAGGGAGAGTGGTTGCCCACCTGGCTTTCTGTAGTCATGAGCATACCTGACAACTGGTGGGAGGTCTTCTGCTACCTTCCTAGGATCTCCAGCGCCATCCTCTGCAGCGGCAACAGAGGCCAGGACTTGGGGTTCCAGCCACGTGTACGCACTCACTTCAGCCTCGTCTGGCTTAAATCTCATCTGAAACACGACACCGTTGGAAGGGCAGGCAACAGACCCCCCCCATACACACCTCCCTCTCCAGTGGCAGGAAGCTCTGTAGAACCACACATGAAGCTGCCTTATACTGAATCAGACCATCGCAGTCAGTACTGTCTACTCAGACCAGCAGCGGCTCTCCCGTATCTCAAGCATGAGGTCTTTCGCATCACTTTAGAATCATAGAATCACAGAGTTGGAAGGGGCCATACAGGCCATCTAGTCCAACCCCCTGCTCTGTGCAGGATCAGCCTAGAGCAGTGATGGCGAACCTTTTAGAGACCGAGTGCCCAAACGGCGACCCAAAACCCACGTATTTATCGCAAAGTGCCAACACGGCGATTTAACCTGAATACTGAGGTTTTACTTTAGAAAAAACAACTCCTACATTAACTTAAGAGGATCCAAACAAAGTAAGGGAAGCAATCCCAAATGCTTTCATTTGCTTAAAATTATTTGGCAGAGAATTCAACACTTTAATGATGGTCTGGGCCTGGCTGGGGCGATGGCACGCGTGCCCACAGAGAGGGCTCTGAGTGCCACCTCTGGCACCCGTGCCATAGGTTCGCCACCACTGCCCTAGAGCATCCCTGACAAGTATTTGTCCAGCTGCTGCTTACAGACTGCCAGTGAGGGGGAGCTCACCGCCTCCCTAGCCAGCTGATTCCACTGTTGCAGAACTCTTACTGTCAAAAGGTTTTTCCTAATATCCGGCTGGTACCTTCCCGCCCTTAATTTAAACCCATTATTGCAGGTCCTACCCTCTGCTGCCAACAGGAACGGCTCCCTGCCCTCCTCTAAGGGACAGCCCTTCAAATTCTTCAAGAGAGCAACCATGCCCCCCCCCCCAACCTCCTCTTCTCCAGACTAAACCCTCTACTGGTCTTTTTAACTAGAGATGCTGGGAATTGAACCTGGGACCTTCTGCATGTCCAGCAGAGGCTCTTCCACTGACTCACAGTCCCTCCCCTTATCAGTTCCTTTCAGAGAAAAGAGGCTGGGCAGGGAGGTAGTTATCCCAACAAAGTCCTTACTGGGACTTCTAGTCTAAAACGGAACTACTTTTTTGCTCTTATTTTCCAGTGCGTCAAGCAGAGGAGATGCCAATGAACAGAGCTTCCAGACTGTGTCCCCTGAGAATCATGACCAAGAGTGGTTTTCAGGTGTTACTGGTAGCTCAAGCTTTGTGCCAACTCTAGTCTTTATCTCTATGCCTCTGGAGGCCCAAAGAATTTTTCAGTCCATCTCTGAGCAGGGCTCTTTTTGTAGAAAAACCCCAGCAGGAACTCGTTAGCATAATAGGCCACACCCAACAGCAGGAACTCATTAGCATATTGGGCCACACACCTGACAGCACAGCATATTAGCATATTAGGCCACACCCCCATGTTACCAGAAGTGTGGTTATCCAGCCACACCCACCTTTTGCTTGTTATTCTGTTTACCTTGTTTGTTGTCAAAACCCAGGGCCTTTTTTGTAGCAGGAACTCCTTTGCATGTTAGGCCACACACCCCTAATGTAGCCAATCCGAATGAGTTTCTGCTGTTGGGTGTGGCCTATTATGCTAATGAGTTCCTGCTGGGCGTGGCCAACTCAGGAGCCAGCCAGAACTCCATTCCTGTGCATTCTTGCTCAAAAAATAGCCCTCTGAGTATAGGCAGAGCGCCTTTCTCTTACTCCCCAGTACCTATACCAAGCACACCACACATCTACGTTTAGGGGGCAGAAAGGATCCGAAGTCTGAGTTCCAGGCAGGCTTGAGCCCCCCAGTATAATAACAAGAATCGTAATTCTGTGCTGTCAAGTCGCAACGGATTCACGGTGACCACAGGACCGTGGGGTTTTTAAGGCAAGAGGTGAGCAGAGGTGGTTTCCCATTGCCCTCCTCCGCACCGTAACCGCAGCCTTCCTATCCGAGTACCAACCACAGCCAACCCTGTTTAGGTTCCAAGCTCAGATGCGATCAGGCACTGAACCTCTTCATGAACTTATTCTGTGCACTCCAATCATCCTTGCTGATTAGAGACAGGCCTTGTTTCCTGGTCCCAGTTCCTGGAAAAACACTGCCCCAATGCTGGGCTGTCTTTTAGATATTTTGCCTGTGTTGCCACTACGCTTCCCAGCCCAGCCCTCTCCCCAGGGTCTCCGAGAGAGGAAGGGCACAGCTGGCCAGAGGACCACACACTGACCCAGTGGGGAGCGAGCAGGAGAGAACAGGCACTGATCCTTGGTAGGAGAACTAAGAAAGTGGAACAAGGTCTCCCTAAAAGGTCCAGTAACCTCACCTGTAGCTGCTGGTGGCTCTCAGGAGAAAGCAGGAGGAGGTAGACGACCACGTGGTGGCGCTTCGGCAAGCCTCTGCTCAGCATGGGAGGGTATACAGACTGTGGAGTCAGGGGAGAGACCGTAGCGGCAGTGAGAAAAGGCCCCGCTTAAAGGACTGCCTCACCCCACGGCATCCAGCCCACTGGTTAAGATCCTCCTTCCAAGCCCTGCACCTACAGAGACTGGGCCTTTTTGGTGGTGGCTCCTTCCCACTGATGCCAACAGTGACACCAATACAGAGGAAGGTCTGTCTTAAAAGCCTATTACGTTCAGGAGCGACTGAGAATTTTAAGAGCAAGGTCTGTTGATGATGTCGCCGACCTCCCTGTGGAGCCTGGGGTACTTCTAGAATCACAACTGATCTCCAACTGCAGAGATCAGTTTCCCTGGAGAAAAAGGCAGCTTCAGGAGGTGGGACTTTAGGGCATCACATCCCTGCTGAGCTCCCTCTGCTCCCCAAACTCCACCCCCCCTCCAGACACTGCCCTCCAAATCTCCAGGAATTTCCCTATCTGGAGCCCGTCACAGGCTGTGCTCCATTCCTGCCTGGATTATAAGAGGCCCAGAGGCATGTATCTGGACATTGCTGAAAACAGGAACACAGAGCAGCACCAGCACCTTCTCCAAGAAGCTCAGGGGCTTGGGTTTGTCCCATTGTCCTCCTAGCAGTCCTTGAAATGGGTTGGGCTAAGAAAAAGTGAATCCCCCAAGAGCCACTTTCATAGCTGAGTGAGGATTTGAACCCAGATCTCTCCATTAAATTCAACACGCCAGCCACTGCACCCACACTGGGTCTTTGCGGGAGCGCCGTTGGTAGGAAGCAGGGAGTTGAAAGAAAGGGAGTTGCACCCAGGCAAATGAAGAAGAAAAAAACTGAAAATGGTGCAAAGGAAAAAGAATCTTTGATAACTATACAATCCCTTTATGAGTTTTTCGTGCAGCTTTGTTGGGGGAACCTATTGTGAGAATACAAAATATAAAAGTGAGTTTAATACATCATTATTTAAAAGTTGATAAAATACAGGACAATTTCATAGAGCATGTACAGAATACAATTTATAAATAGATGTTAATATTTATACAATCAAACCAACATTGACCTATACTACATATTACATTATTTATTTATTTAGGCATTTTTACCCCGCCCTCCCCGCGGACTGTTAATTGGGCATTAAAGAACCATACTGACCTTTCAGTATAATCGTATACTGATAATTATTAAATAAATAATAATTGTATTTATAATTGTATAAATATAATAATTGTATAATTATATAATTATTTAAGATTCTTTTCCCTTTGCACCATTTTGTTTTTTTCTTCTAGGAAGCAGGGAGGCCAAGGGCATTCATGGGCCCTTAGACAAAGATTCTCTCTGCTTCACCTTACAACCAACGTAAAATCATATAATAAAAACAGCTTTGAAGTAATTTTAATCTCACAACAACTCTGTGAGGTAGGTCAGGCTGAGAGAGAATGACTGCCCCAAGGATGCACTGCCACCTTCCTTCCCCCTTATTAATGGGGTTGCAAAGTGTATAGCTACATACCATACATACATACATACATACATATAGCTACATAGTTTATAGCTACATACATACATAGCCTTGCCGTTCATCCCAGGGAAGGGAAGGGGGAAATTACGGACCAAGTAACTAGTGAACACATGGAGTTGCCTTATACTGAATTATACCTTTGTCCATAAATATCAGTATTATCCTTTTGATGGGTGGCCACTACCTGGGGTTTCAGGCAGAGGTCTTTCACATCACCTTCTACTTGATCCTTCTAGCTGGAGATGTCAGGGATTGAACTTGGGACCTTCTACATGCAAGGCAGATGCTCTCTTATGTTCTCTTATGTTCTTATAAGCATGGACGGCTTCAAAAGGGAATTAGATAAGCATATGGAGCAGAGGTCCATCAGTGGCTATTAGCCACAAGGTATAGATAGGGGCTCTGGGGCAAGTGATGCTCTGTCTTCTTGGTGCTTGGGGGGGAGTGAACACATGGAGTTGCCTTATACTGAATTATACCTTTGTCCATAAATATCAGTATTATCCTTTTGATGGGTGGCCACTACCTGGGGTTTCAGGCAGAGGTCTTTCACATCACCTTCTACTTGATCCTTCTAACTGGAGATGTCAGGGATTGAACTTGGGACCTTCTACATGCAAGGCAGATGCTCTACCACTGAGCCATGACCCATCCACGAGGTAAGGACACACACAAGGGTGCCTTATGCCAAGACAGACAGCCTGTTTATCAAGACTAGTACTGCATACTCTGTGGAGTAAGCACTGTGGAGCTGCGGTGGCTCAAGTGGTTAAGACGCTGAACTGCAGGCTGTGGAAGGTCGGTAGTTCAGCAGTTCGAGACCCGGGTGCCGCATGATGGAGTGAGCTCTCGTCTCTAGTTCCAGCTCCTGCCAACCTAGCAGTTCGAAAGCAAGAAATTGCAAGTAGATAAATAGGTACCACTTCGGTGGGAAGGGAACAGCGTTCCGTGTGCCTTGGTGTTTAGTCATGCCAGCCACATGACCACGGAAACGTCTTCGGACAGCGCTGGCTCTTCGGCTTTGAAACGGAGATGAGCACCGCAACCCTAGAGTCGGACTCGACTGGCTTTCGAGCAAAGGAACCTTTACCTTTACTTTTTACTGCTTACTCTGACCAGCAGCTGCTCTTCAGAATCTCCAGTCTTTCACATCACCTGCTACTTGACCCTTTCATTCGGAGCTGCTAGGAACTGAGCCAGGAACCTTCCGCATACCAAGCCGATACCCTCCCCCGAGCCACGGCTCCTCCCCTCCAGCACCCGCACTAGGAATGCCTCACCTCCCAGAGGGCCAGCATTTGCCAGGAGAACTCCCCGTCTTGCAGGCACAAGCCCGTCTCCTCTCGCAGTTCTCGCAGGCCAGCGTCCAGCAACTACAGACCAGAAAAAGCAGGTTGGAGAAGACCCTGGAACACAGGTGGGCAAGGTGGGGGGAGTCAGGGCTGAGCCACAGAACTTGCTTGATATGCTGGAAAATAGGACTTGACAGTGAGCCGTCATGGACACCTCTGATTTTAGACGTTAATCACCAGAAAGGGGCAGAGAGGAAGACAAATCACTGTAAACCCAATAAGTCAGGCTTTCCATGCTTCCAGTAGGTGTATATGGTTATAACTTTCAAGCTTCCATGAGGGTTAGAAACTTGGAAAAGTTCAAACCACAAGCTGAACTCCTGTTCTGTTACCAGACCACCATATGGATCTGTATCTTGCACAGGCTTCCATGTTTGAGTCTGCTCTGTTCACCTTCCCTCCCCCCGTCCAATCGGGAGGGCAGTTCCGGCAATGTGATTCATTACCTGTTCACCAGGTTCAATGTGACCACCTGAAAGAGAAGAGGAACATCTAAACTCTGCTGTAGAAGAAGAGGAGATTGGATTTATACCCCGCCCTTCACTACCCAAAGGTGCCTCAGAGCAGCTTACAAACTCCTTTCCCTCCCCACAACAGACACCCTGTGAGGTAGGTGGGGCTGAGAGAGCTCTTGACAGAAACTGTTCTTTTTCAAGAACAGCTCCTTTATCAGAACCACGGCTTGCCCAAGGTCATCCAGCCAGGTGCAAGTGGGGAATCAAACCCGGTTCTCCCAGATTAGAGTCCACGCACTTAACCACTACACCAAACTGGCTCTCTTCCTGCCTTTGGGGGCATCAGCCAAAGGCTTGAGGAGTCTGAAATGGCTTGGAAATTTCGCCACGACTGCCTGTACACTTTGAAGTTTCTGCACTCAGTCTCAAGGAGGCTAGAATCTTGCTTCAACATCTGGAAACATACCTGGAGGGACCCAGAGGTTGGGAAAGATACTCAGGCTTTTGGAGCGCCGCGTTAACAAAACCTTCCGGCAGGCGGACTGCAGGAGGATGGCCACACCCACGTCCACACCTCGATCTCGGGTCTCCGCAGGGAGAGAAGCGGCTTGCGCATCACTCAAATGCTTGATGGGGCAGAAGGTGGGCCTCTGTGGAAGAAAGCCTCCAGAAATAAGCATCAATAGGGGGAGGAGAGATTCTCTAGGACATTCCCCTAAGCCCAGTTTCCTTGCAAAATTCAAGCCCCTTCAGTCCTTCTCCTAGTTGGTGGTCTCTTTTCTTTCTTTCTTTTTGTATTTTTCATATGTGCATGTGAATGTGTGTACACCTGGAAGTCATGGCAACCTCTGGTGACTGGCCCCACTGGGGGCCTGGAGGTTATTCAGAGAGGCGGCTGAATAAAGCCTGCCCCCGCCTCCTGACTCTGGTATTCCAAGGCGGTCTCCCATCCAAGTACTTGCCGGAGTCAACCCTGCTTAGCTTCTGAGATCTGACGAGACCGGGCATGCCTGGGCTCATCCAGGTCAGGGCTACTAGTTGGTGGTCTCAAGCATGTATTGGCAAAGCAGCAAAACCAGACCACCCAGAAACAAAACTGGGGTGTCCCTGCAACCTCAGGCGGAGGCAAAGAGGAGCAGGGAGGAAGCTCTGCTCCTTGTTTCAGACCTGAAGCCATGATGCTGTTGGTCGGAGCTCTCCGTGGAGAGAGATTCTTGTGTTTTTAGGAGGCAGGCACATCCCTGGTTTTAAAAACACACATCCAGCCAGACCACTGCCCGGAATCTGCCTTTCCTATGACTATCTATCAGAAGGTGGAGAGATGGTGGTAGAAAACAGAGGGAGAGTACATGCCAGCGTGTAGTTCTTTAGACTCCTGGCTACTTTTTTGCACTTGCAGACTACCCAAGGAGGCACCCCCAGAGCTCAGGAGCTGCCATTCCCATAGTAAGCAAACCTTTTGCAATCAGACCTTCGAGAAATGCAGTCCGAGTAGCGGAGGCAGCAACACAAACAACAGGGCCGTGGCCTCGATCCCTTGACTGTGTGTTCCCTTGAGGGTGCTTCAGGGGCTGCCTCTTGCAGACAGATGGCTGAGCCTAGGGGAAGGCCTCGGCCTCTATGCCTTGTTGTTGGCCCTCCAGAGGAATCGGTTGGCTACTGCGTGAGACAGGATGCTGGGCCAGATGGACCACTGGGATGATCCAGCAGGGCTCTTCTTGTGTTCTTATCAGATGGCCCTTGACTTGCCCAGCAGGACATTGCTTGCATCTTTCTTTCCTAAAGGTCCGGCATGTTAAAGACTAGCATATTTACTGTTTGTCTTCAAAGTGCCCACAGAAGAAGAAGAACAGATTGGATTTATACCCTACCCTTCACTTGGGAGTCTCAGAGTGGCTTACAA